GCGAGACTGGTGTCGTAGTGGTCAGGATGTCATCATACAGCACACCCATGTCGGGGAGAGGCTGTCGCAGTTCCTCGGCCAGGTCCTGAGCGGTTACACAGAAGTGTTGTTTGAAGGACCCGTCAAAATCGCCTTGCATCTCTGTGTCCTCGTCGGTCGCTCCATCTTGCGAGGTGTACTGCTGTATCGCAGCTTTCTCGGACTCGATTCGACTTCTCATAAAGGGAACGACATCCGTCACGAGTTTCCAGTTTCGACTTGCACGGAATGCCCAGAGGAAGGCCGAATGCGTTCTTGTAAGGTCGTCGTCGTTGAAAGTCTACCAAGTAGCAAGGCGATTAGTACCGTCTGTCGGTTCAGTAAAGTCTTGTGTTGGGGTCCTTATCCGCCGACAACGTACCTTTCCGCGATACCTATCCACGATTTTCCTACTCGGAAGACCTGCATGCGGAGTCACCATGACTCTACCGGCTGGGTCGAAGAAAACACAGCTCAAGACTACTTGGCGGGCCTTTGTTCTCGATCGTCTGCGGTCTCCGCCAGCCGCGATGGCACATGCTGATAGAACTGAGCAGGAAACACATGCCTTATCGCATTACCTCATTAGTTTGCCTGTCGCCGTTGATGAGTGGAGACAACGTACCAGGACCGCACATATTATGACAGTTTGGCTTCGTGAAAGTTGGCCACCTTGCTTGATGGATTGATTGTGTCCTTTGTAAGATGTACCAAGTGCAGCAGTCCAGTGCATACCAGAGACAGCGATGGCAAGTAGACAGCCACATATCCCCCGTCTCCACCAACTGTTAGTCCATGTAGCCCTCCACCGAAAGAAGATTCCCAGGCCAACAGTGCTGGCAAAGATGGCAATGATTGCGGCTCCGACAATATGCGCGACCTTGTAGCTGCATCGGTAATTGGCGATGCCAAGCTGGCCAATGTAGTGCATTGCACACACCGAGCTGCCCGTTAGGACACCTCCCATAACGATACGAAGGTAGCCAGCCTTTTCACTGGTTCCTATCGCGTAGAAAGCTGCAAGCAGGACGACAACGGGAAGGATGAACGAAACTCCTGTGAAAGTCACGCTATACACAATCTGGATTTGGGCTGCTCCATCACCGAGGACGATTGCTCTATTGCCAATGAAGTGCATGCACCAGATGCCGATGCCGCCCATGGTTACGGAGGATGTGAAAAGAAGGTACCTATAATGTTAGGCAACTAGATGAAACGGTGCTTCGAATAGTAGTCATACCAGTTATACAAGCCGGCCTTCGACGTCCGTCGGTGAAGAAGTTCGAGGGTAGTCGCACACCCCATCGTGCTGACAACGTAGGAGAGAAAGATATAACCTGCCAGGTAAGATACGGCAACGGGCAGCCCGTCCCGGTGATCATCTGAAGCCGACATTTTAAAAGTCGAGCAAGATTAAGGATTGACTTAGAATGAAGGCGACTTCATGGATTGATGGGGAGTTTTCAGCGCATCTCAGCCCGTAAAGATGCTCAAGGAACGGCTAGAAGGAAGAACAAGGAGCGACTGAGGGAGCAGGCAAAGAATGAATAAAGTTGACAGTGACGACCAGGTCGTCTATACGGGGCGCTTAGAGTGCTGGGAGTCAATTATATGACATGCGAGATCAGCATGCTTCAAACGTGCTGGTTCTAAACCGCGATTGCTGCAGCTTCAGAAAATTGAGACGGCCAAGTATCTATATGGGGCACTTCATGACAAGGGGCGCTCTTATGAAAAGAGTCAGCCCAATCTATTTGTTACTAGTTTATTGGAAGTTGTCAAACTCCAAGAAAGCACCGGTGCGTTTGGCCGGATCAGTAGCACGAGAGGCCCCCAATATTAAGGACAGGCATTATTTGGTCCTCCGTAGATATCGGTAACACCGAACCGAAGCAAATCGTAGCTAGTCAGCTGGTGATTCTCGAGGACCAGGAATGTTGTTAGAACTGGATCAACAGATCGGATCGTAGTTGGCTAACGAGGGAACGATGGGGAACAGACTTCGGCACTTAGCGAGTTAGTGCTGACTCCAGGCCTGGCCAACGACCAGAAAATAGGTACCTGGGTTCATTCCATTGGCCGGGTTCATATTAAACAATCAATTCACTTGTGGAAGGCCAGGACCTGGAAGACCAAGGTCTCAGAAGACTGCCTCGGGTCGGAAGTTTTGGCCCAAAATTGTAACTTCGAGACTCCTTTGCAGACCCGCTACAATCAAATTTCAGCTGCGCCATGACTAGGTTGCATGCCCTTTATTCATTGTCTCAAGTTTGTGACTGTGTGCACAGAGGGACTCTGCGCGCAATTTGAGACCTCTGTTCAAAATGAAGTATGCCTGACTGGATACCACCTTTCTTTGTTCGTTGACTTCATTTGAATCTTATCATGAGCCAGATCGGCTGATGGTCTTTGGTTCCACGCATGGAAAACATCTATTCCATGGTTCCATGGCTCAAGGATGCCAATAGGACCTTCTCAGGAACTTGTCAAATAATAGCAGACGTAGTGGAGACCGAATGACTCGAAGCGCGATATGCTAAGTCGAATCTGTATGAGCAAATTTAGCGGGTTGCTAGTTTGCTTCATCAGACAGTTGACACAAACAAGGCTTCATCCTTTTAGTCTAGACGTCGAATGGCCAGTGCGAAGCCAAGGAACTAGGATCGAGAAAGCGCTGTCGGAAAACTTCGGTGTTGGGCCACAGCGAAAGGTTTCAAGCATGTTCCTGGCAGACTGGCACAGTCGTGCAGCTGTGAATGAATGAAAGCCAGTTTTGAAGGGTGTGGGCGAGTCCAAAGCTGATGCCATAACACAGATTGAGTGTTAGTCACTTGTTTGAATGAAGCAGTGTCCAGTGTCATCTGTTGACTGTATTGAAATCCTCGGCGAACTGGAAAATGCACGAGCAAGAGATGCCAATCTTCGCTAGCCCATAAGAGGTCTAGCTCATATCAATCCATTATCAATGGAGATTTGGCTCCTTGACACCTGAGGCCGAGGCACATCCTAGGATGTTCCATTTGCTCGTCTGGATTTATTTTTGGTCATCCACCTGGCCATTTACTCCTTGAAGTAATGAGAGAAGCCACGACTGACAACGACACGAGGTTGAATGCAATCATCAAACTATATGCAGAGTCCTCGTCTTTTTTTTTTCTTTTGTTTTCTTTTTCTCTTTCTATTAGGCTAGGGTTTCCACCTTCCAGTGGACCAGGTACGTATCATCTCCACCCGATCTCAAAAATCGAGATGGCTGGATCCAAATCTCTACAATGCGCCCACAGACTCACGTTCAGATTCCACCTTCATCGGGCTTAGCGAGGGTATCATCATCTTGAACGTGGCTGTCCGAATGGCATATTTGACCCGATTCACATTATGCACCAACCCAGCTGAAGCGTGGAGTCTCCCAGCAACTGAACAGCTCCGTGCTCATTATATTAATTCTTGCTCCACTGTTGCAATTTTTCTTTGACACCATCTGCAGTCTGAGGTATCACCAATCTCTGGGTTTCCTGCCCCAGTATCACATTATCGTCTGTTATATTTACGCCGACTGAGCGGAGTATACCATATCGAAATTTAAAGCTTACCAATATGTCATTCTAAAGTTCGTAGGAGCCCGCATATTGTCTACCTACGACGTTTGATGACCGGGCCTTGACGGTGCTACAGATATCCGAGCATCAACTCTATACTTCTTGAGAATCAGGAAACATTTAAGCTCTAGAACCCAAGGGCTTTGCAGAGCAATCAGGTTTTTTTTAATGCATGTCAGAAATGCACTTCACAACTCCTTCAGTTGTGTAAATCTCCACGAGGAACATTCATAGGAAGAAATTATCACTACGCCTTGAACAGGGTTCTCCCAGCCCGTTGACTATAACTTTCTTTGGGCTGTATACGCCAAGGCAGAGCGCATATCCCCATCAATATAGTGTGGCCAGGTACAGCAGTGACAGAAAGCTTGGTTCCATGCCGCTTGATCGCAGTTCTCAGTGCCGTATTCTAGCAGAACTACCGTGTCCTATCCGGTGGTAATATTCTCTCTCCAGAGGCTCAGCTACAACAACGCCCTCGAGGTTCCAGCAATTTGGGTGTCATATGAAACTTAATTTTGTTTCAACATCATGGGAAGGGTATGTTATCATGTCTATATTCGCACCAAAGCTACTCCCAATATCATGACCATTATGCCTACCTTTGCTCAATCATTGATCTCCATATCAAGTTCAAATGGAACAGTGTAGCAATTACAGTGGGTCCCTCTCATAATGTGGAATAGCAGTGTGCAAGGTATGCTCACCACTATTAAGCACTGATATCTCAATATATCACCTTTGTTATCACTGAGGTTCTGCTTTGAACTTCAGATGTATGACCTCAACTATTTAACCAATTGTGGCACTGCACAAACAGATAACCTCTGTTCCTTGTGAAAAGTGACGGTGTTTTTCAGATAAGTACATTGTCTACAGCTTCTAGCGCATGATTGTACCTGGCCATACATCCATAAAATTATGAAATATTTCTTTCTTATGGAGGCATAGACCTACTGCTCATCTATTCTGTGAGACATCATGATGCAGTTGGTTATTATTGAATGAGCAGAGCCACATCGGAAAGGGTCCGAATTTATCCCAGATAGATGCGACTCTGCGGAGCCGGCCAAGTTAACCAGGCAATGTTATCAGCTCGCGATGTTAAGGAGCAGCAGAGAAACAGGGCCGTCATTGATAACTTGGTGATGCATGGAGTTACATAACCATCCTGTTTGACCTTTCTTCGTCTTCAGAACGCGAGGCCCAGAAACTGCTCCAGTCCCAGAATATAGTAGACTTGGTTGCGATAATGGCATCCTGAATTCTTCAGTCAAGTGAACACCCAAAACGGCGAACAGATGAGACACGGAACAGAAACAATCTATCAAATTTCCCTCATGACTAATCCATTTACAACCAAAACCTCGTCAAACCAAAGGCTTAAGCGACATGCTGTTTGACAGCAGCCTCAAGGGCCGGAGGGTTGGCACCAACAACTTCGTTAACCTTCTGGCCGTCCTTGAAGAACATGAAAGTGGGCATAGCACGGACACCGAGGTCAGCAGCAACTTCAGCGAGTTCGTCGACGTCGATCTCGTAGAACTTGGCGTTCTTGAAATCTTCCTGGGTGCTAAGGCGCTGGAAGACGGGAGAGATAGCCTTGCAAGGGCCGCACCAGACTGCAGAGCAGTCGACAATGACTGGGCCTGAGGATTCTAGGACCTTCTCCGTGAAGACCTTGGCGCTAGCATTGGTGTTAGTAGTCTAACATCAAGCAGAATTATTCAAAACGGATGTATCAGAACTGCGAGAGAACGTACTCAGTAATCTTCTCGACGTTGTGAGACATTGTGGATGTAGGTGAAAATCGGGAGATAGGAGTGGAAGAGAAAGCTCGTTGGCTGATCGAGGAGAAGTGGTTGCTGGTGGGAATACGAGTGGAGGAAGATTGATGCAAAAATGTCGAAGCGACCGCGACTTTGCTTGCCGATCTGAGTGATGTAGAGATGGCCCTGACGGAGGACAGAGAAGTAGGAAGACGAAGAGAGGTCACGGTGAATGATTTAAACACTATGGATGGTCAGAGTATGGTTAGCTCCGAGAGTGAGGGGCTCAAGGAGGGGCGCAAATAGGGATTTTGTAGTGGGATGATGAGCAGCCTCCCAATGACGTGAGCGCCTCCCGGAGACTGAGGATGAATAATCCACAGCCGCGATCACTAATGCAGCGGAAATGTCTCGGGGGCTATGGAAGGAACGAGGTGGTTGTGGCTCAGAACACCTACTCGTGAACGACCCAAATCCCTTAAGTTAACGCGTATTTGGGAATGGATTTGTCAAAGTACGAGGTCAATTGAAATAGTGCACCTTTGCAATAGTCAACAATAATCTATTGGCAGCTGGTGATGCGATGCAACTTCAGGTACCTGTTGGATGTTAGGCTGATGAGGCGAGAAAACGGGTTCTGGGCTTCCAGGTTGTACCTTAAAGAGGCTTAAAGCGGCGCCCCCAGATGACGTGATTCCGTTGCTTACGAATTGGAAACGGTCTGGATCGGACGGCAGCCTCAGGCATCAAGAATCCCACTCAACAATTGACAAACAATCTGTCTACGGAGTAGAGACACAAGATACCCTTGATACCCTGGTCTCTGTCGTCTTGTACAATTAGGTGATGGGCAGCCAATTAGCCATCTAGCGGTACAACGGTAGATGTGATGAGGAATATCCTGGGTATAAATTGAAGTCTGTATCTTCGAGTCTATCTAGAATCACAAATCCCATAATCACACGGACATTGTTCATTTGCAATCGAGGCGCATCCAACTAACTCGCACTCCTTGGGGGTATCAACAAACAAAGTATCTAACTCAAACCTCCACTAAGCCTGTAAACGCTGCCATGGCCACGTCAAGTGTTGGCAAAAGGCTACTTGGCGACGGGGAAATATCTATACAAAAGAAAGACAAAGGAAAGGTAAGGAGCGGCAAGAGTATGTACTCATGGACAAACGTATTAAACACTCAATATAATAGACAGATCAGAAAAATTGGGTATACCGGGTAATTGCTTGACCTTTCTGCGGGCTCATCGGTTGACGCTGCTTCGTTATACACATTGAGAAGCTCTCAAGGCCCGGGCCTGGACATGACTCAATATGCGCGTCCATAGTTCTCATCGTGCATGTATTCATGTTCGGATGGATGTTCTTCTATAGGACTCACTTCCTCGTCGGCAGATATGGGGGACAGTGACTGGATCGACCTCAGCAGAAGGCCTTCGGTTGACTTGGGCCGAATTGTTGGATTCACGACAACGGGCCTCTTCGCAATCTCTGAATGCCAGGTTTCATCTTGTGGTGACGCGTGGACGTTGAAATCCTTCTCTCCCTCGCCAAGGACACTCTTGCTTGGTCTTACATTGTCATCGTAGGTCCCTTCGAATCGAACAAAGTGCTCTTTTTGAGGCATTGCGTCGCCCTTGACCGAGCCCTCGTGCCCTCCTTCGGTGTGGTTATGTGACAAACTGGAACTGCGCTGGATCAGATTGCTCTTCCTCTGAGAAATGCGGCGCAGAAATTGCCCTGACATCCAGGATCCTTCTGAATCAATTGACGCTAGTGATTGTGATAATGGCGCGTTGTCCGCATCCTCCTCTAGACTTTCGCCACCCCACGAGCGATGCGGGGCCTTACTCGCATCCTGGAGGTCAGACTCTGAGCCAGGAATTGGATAGTGAGATTCCACTTGCAGATCGAGCCTGTCATTTTCTTTCCCAAATCCATCGGAGGGCTCCTCCGGAATTTCAGGGGACTGAAGGCGCGAATCTGGGGGAGACAGAGGCTCATCGCCAAAGTGTTCAGTGAATTTGGACTGAGAGCGTTTGATTATGCCAGGTCGAAGGAAAGCTTTTGGAGGAGCGTATGGTGGGGGGCCGGATGACTGAGTTGACACTTTGAAAAAAGATTCATGGGACGTATTGGAGAATTCGGAAGACTGGTCATGGAAACGTTCGCGATATCTCCGTTTCAGACGAGAGCTGCCGCGTCGAAACAGTGAAGCCAATGCACCACCCCGTGTGCTGCTATGATCGGACAGACGTCTCTCAGATTCAACCGTTCTCGAAACATCCGATGTGGATTCTCGAGCTACGCCATATACCTGAGAGGAAGTGGGACTGCTCAACCCACGCCTGGATGGAGACGGCGATAGGGTGGTGTGTGACATTCCCATGTCGTGCGACGGGGTAAAGCTCGGGCGCTCAGCTAACTTGAACTTTGTAACAGAGCTATCGTCGAGGTTGCCAACAACATGGACACTTTCAAAAGATGCATGACGGCTTCGCTCCCTGGAAGCGTCCCGCAACCAGGATCCAGCAGTGTCACCAGATAGATAAGTTTTTGTCTCATCGTTCTTGGACACAGTCCCACTGCCTGCAGGAGTAGATTCAGCATTCTTCTCGACAGTGGCCCGGCCTCGGTTGATAGCGGATGATTCTTGGTCGTCAGCGTGTTGGCGTTGAGACCCATCTTCCTGCTCCTCTTCCCTCCGCTGGCGTTCTGCGCGACGTTGCAATCTGCGACGTAGCCTTTCCTGTTCTTCAATCCTTTGCTTCTCCTTTCGGCGACGATCCCTCTCAAGCAGCTCCCGCAATGCACTTGCATCGAGACTATCAGCCAATGCGTCCACACGCTGCTTCGAGTACAATTCCTCTTCCGAAAGGGACAAATTTAGGGCGTTCTCCTTGCGGCTTGATACCTCGGCTGATTTCTGACTTTTGGCAGCCGAGCTGCGCGACCCTTCCACATATCGAATGATAGGACGAGGGGTCCAGGCAGCCAAACTGTTGACCTTGAAGGTATACGATTCAGAGAAATCGGATACAGACGAGGCAGCGGAATCGCGCACAGGTAAACTAATGTCCGAGAGATGACGGTCGGACCGCCGGCTATGAGCTCTAGGAGCCCGTCGTGTCTCGACAGAGATTCTCTCTCCTGGCAGTGTACCGGGCCGCCAAGGTATGTCAATGGGGGTTGAGGCCATCAGCCGAATCTCTTGCTCCCGTGCAATTTCGTATGCCTTCCGCTTGCTCAGTTTCTTCTTCAGGACTGCCGGGCCCTTATCGTTCTGCTTCGACTTCAATAGCGAGCCGTTCCGAGAGATCGAAGATTGCTGGTTGTGGTCTGCACCAGGATGAGAGATATACGACTCTGGAGCTCGGTCTATTTGGGAGTGTAACTTTGGCAGCATTTTGACGGGGTAGGCTTGCTCGCGGTGTACAGATGATGGGTGCAACGGTTGGACTGCTGCTTGAATGGATTCATCTCGGAAGGGACTCGAGGTATCTTCGATAGGCTGTGAATGGCGGTTTTTTTGACGCTTGGACTGTTTACGGGACGGCTCTCTGCCCACCGAGGAGTCCACGAAGCTTGGGCCATTTTCGTACGACACTTTCAAATTTGCGGCATCCGGAGCACCTAGCTGGATAGTATGCCGCTTGTTTCTGCGACCAAAAGGCCATATCGCCATGGTGCCAGTTCAGCTAAGTCCGTTGTTCCCCCGTCGTGGGCGATTCAAAGGTTGGCGAATTCTTTGTGAGATATAGGAATGTCGCGAATAAGTGAACTCATTTGGAATCATGGGGCAGGTGAGACACGCGATCAACGGGCGAAGGAGATATCCTAGAGTCGTGTATAGACAAACGATATCAACTGGCAGATAAACACGTCTGCATCGATGTTCGGCTGGTATTTAGATTTTCAAGAGTGGTAGTTTATCACGAGGTAAAAGATTGAGACATCCCAGAAAGTCGGAATGAAGAGGACGAGAAGTAAGGATAGTCTGGCGTAAAGAGTCAAGTGATGTCTCAAACGAAGCAGAGGGATTTGGAGTCCATCCGCAGAAGAGAGGAAACCTTCCTCACGATGATGTACGGAAAACTTGGGTGGATATATCAGCGCTGTCGTCACTTCTGTCAGGAGGCAAATTGAATGGTAAAGCTAGGTGATCTGCCGAATGGAGGCGACGCCACATGAAGTTGCAGAGAAGTAAGAAGTTCAATTCAAAGGCAGAGTTTAGAGAGTCAATCAGGCAAACAACCAAACGAGAAATAGGGAAAAAGAAATGTCTATCAATAATAGCTGTTATGGGTGATGTTTTGATAGAAGAAGAGAAGAAAGGAAAAGGAGATCCACGGACTGTCTTCCTGGGGAGTCCAGGCTGTGTAAACCACTATCTATCTACTCCGTACACTGCTAGGGAAGGAGTCTAGGGCCACCTACAAAATACCTATCTAATAGTAGCGGGGGCCGAGACAAACAAACCGCCCTTTTTGTTTGTCGACCCAGAGGATCGACTTGGCTGGTTAGCGGTTACACCAACGGCAGAGGACCACTTGAACCAGAGAAGGATGTTATGGTAGTGAGGTATCGTTATTACAGTTATTATTATTATTCTCAGTAAGGTAGGTATCATTAATTCTGTTAGCATCGGGTGGTGACTGATCCATATTGCTTTTCGATCTCGTTATGACTGAGATTATGCCTGCTGAAATTTTGATGCATCTATCCGCTCAGTCAGGTCCCTTCTTATTTCGTTCTGTCTATTTTCTTCCGTGGATTTGCGAGGAACTTCAAAGATGTCAAGTTCAATGAGTCAATTATTATAGCGAAAAAAGAGAGAGATGATCATGAAAATTTTCTTCAATGTGGGGAAATCCACCGCCAGAACGGCCACATGGACATTGGCATCGACGCCCAAGACCCCATTCTGATTGTGACCTTGGGCTTGGACTAAAAGAGTAATGCGTAAGGTACCTGCCTTAGGTACTCTTTAGCACACCATCACACTGAG